CAGGAATTGTCTCATGCCGTGTTCTTGGAACGGAAAAGTGACGCCAGCGCAGGGAAACGAGCAGACCGGCCGTCAGTGATCGCTCTCGCGGCCGGCTCTCAACCGAAGGGCGATCTTTTCTTCGTTCAGTGCACTCTCTCTGGCCGCCGTTTCCTGGTCGATACAGGGGCCCAGGTCAGCATAGTTCCGCCGTCGCCGAGCGAGAGAGGCACTCCCACCGATCGTCATCTCCTTGCCGCGAACAATAGCAAGATCAGCACATACGGCATGAAAGACCTTTCTCTCAACCTAGCAGTGCGTTTCACACACGTCTGGAAATTCATTATCGCCGATGTTACCCATCCCATCCTGGGCTCCGACTTTCTCAGGAGCGTTTACCACTGCTCCCGAGCGTTTAGCAAGCGCCACTCGCAGCGATTATCCGTCGACCGGCTCTCGGCACTGGGGTATAAACTACAGCACGAGCTGGATAAAGGTGTCCGTCACAGAGCTCATTGGGTTCATGAATCCATCACGCATGAAGAGTGTACGCCAGTGACCATTCGATACTCTTTCCTCAATGATCTCACGCGATCGTGATTTTCATCGCCTGTCTCGTCTTCCTGGCCCCATGGTTACAGGTGTCTCGAGCCCGGGCGGGGTGACCGGATTTTGACCCTCTCGAGGCCGATCGTACTTCAGCATGGCGACTGGATTGGTGGAGAATGCCAACCTGCATTCCTCCCTGTCCGACGCCTGTCGGGGTTCTCGGTGAATTCTGAAGTACAGGGTGGGGCAGTATAAATTCCCCATTTTGAATGATCCCCATGAAACACGAACCAAGGCGGCTAGCGGAATTCTGCTTGTTTTAGAATGACCTCGAGGACTTGCAGTTTCAGAAAAAAATCCTCTGGTCCGAGACTCCTCACCAGGTGGACGTTCAAAGTATGCTTTTTGAAGTTCCGTTAACGTCATTCTCATAAAGCTCGGTATTGATTTCTGTGGGAAAACCCATTTTCCTCGCTTTCCCGCTGATTCTTGTCCTTTAGCTTGGAGATGTCGGACCAAAGGAATTTTTTCCTGAGAGGGCGAGTCCTCCTAAACATTTTGCCGCGAACAGAACTTCGCTAGCCTTCATGGTTCGGATTCCATGAGCAAAACAAAATGGGGAGAATATACTGCCCCACCTTGTATGAAGAACTTGTCTCTTGCGATTTCTCTTATCTAATGGATGATTTCCTCACCGGGACGGTGTCGCTCAAGGCATAGCTGAACAATCGTCTCTGTCCATCCATTCACTCGGATGATTTTCTCGAGCACATAATTCTGGACGCACTGTAAGCTTCGCTGGTCGCAAGCTTAAGGGCGTAAAGCATCAGAAACCTTCGAACAATTCAAGATCAATGCTCTCGTGACTAGTCCAGAGAACTGCGCCACTGGTCCAATATCGCTTTGTGACTTCCGGCTGGGATACCTTTATGGCCAAGGACCTGGCCTACATTAGTTGCCAATATATGCAATTCGACTGCTTCTTGATGATTGCGCCGATGTCACCGAAGCTAGCCTGGCGGTCGAAATTCCAGACTGTGTTTCCCATCCACGCAGACCCGATTTAGAGGAAAATGACTAAGCGCCGATCGCGTCGGGGTCCTCATCCCCTCTTCGTCCTCGACGATTGTGATGCTCTGATTGACTTTAGACGTTTCAAATGCTCCCGAATCAGACGAAGAATCACAGAAGATGCTTCAGAATAGGTCCCCACACAGACTCCCAAGACGTTTCCCCCTGGAGCGGATATCGTTTTGAGCTCTTTCAGCTGTAATATGGGACCTCCGCTGCCCAGAATTCAAATATGGCGCCAAAAACTATCGTGTAATAAGAACAACAAAAACAAGGGAACTTGCTCCATCCACGAGCCACGAGCAGCCATCACCATCAACAGTCGCACGAACGAGTGGCCCAGCAAGGCTGCCTCTGAGCCTTGTGCGCACTTCTGTGAAGTTCCAGCACATGACGCATGGTTCCGAGTTTCAGGAATCGCGCAAAAGCGTCTGTTTCGGTGCTTGACACAGTCGAGTTTTGATTGACGCTCGCTCGCTCGCTTCACTCCTCACACACACTCCAGTACCAGCAACAGCAGCAGCATCGACATCAAGCACCACACACGACCGACCGCACACTCATACAGACACTACTCCCTACCTGCTCTCAGACTCGGACGTCGTAACGGTCTACTCGTGCGCGGTTCTTGACTGAGCAAGTCACGCTGAACTTCAAGACTCAGAGTCACCAGGTTTTTGTTTCTAAGAGCTGGGAGTGAATGCTGCTTCGCACTTTTCTGAGCACCTCACGCCATGCGTTCCGACTTCAGAAGAGGTCTGCGGTTCTGGTCCCAGAGATGGAGGTGCTCCGCGACCCGTCGGCCAAGGTACGTTTCGTTTAAGATTCCCACTGATTTGGTCGTTCAAAATAGATTCGGGAACCTCGTCCGCTATCAAACTTTCAATCGGGACTCCAGATCCCTTCTCCCAGAGGGAGGCCGAGGCCATGGCACCTGGACGCCCTTGCGGAATCCAAGAGTTTAAGACCTTCGAAATAAGTCTCGGGAACGCCGCCAATGAGTGGGCCAGAATGCGATTCTAGGAAGACAAAGTTATGTTTCAGATATTTTTTTTACTTATTCGGACTCTTCCGAGTCCGCGAATGGTGAATAGGGATCCAGAATGTGAATCCACTTTCGTTCCGGTAAGGATAGACATGATATAGTGGGGGCGCTTTCTGCCGCGAATTCACTCTATTCTCAACCCGCTCCTATAAGTCGACCGCCGTCGGATTGCCGGTGGAGCAGGCGCCTGAGGGTGTTTTGAATAAGATCGAATTTCTCTTGCCGCTTCTCTGCTCGGGAGGAATTCCTATGAATGGAATCATGCTAGTGTTTTTCAAAACCTGTGGGAGCTCCACATTAGAATAGCGAATAAAGTGATACAGAAATCAAGTTTACTTGTGGACGAATCCCCTTCATCGTGAATACCGGTACGATCTGGATTCATCCTGCATTCAATTGCTTAGTATAGTATAAGCTCGTTATGACGGACCCGGATATAACGGACACCCGATTATAACGGACTGGCGGCGCTTCCCCGGCTCTCAATACCTCTCATGTCAATCTGCTCGGATATACCGGAGACCCGCTTATAACAGAAAGTTTTCGCCGGCCCTTTGAAGTCCGTTATGACGAGGTTATTTATCTGAGAGAGCGGCTACTCCCGAATCTAACAATAAGTTTCTACGGCGAAATGGCGCTTGTTTCCAGGAGCCAGCAATGAGGGGATCAGAGAATACGATGAGCATTGTTACAAGATCTATATTGGTGTTTTTCATTGCGCTATCCTTGGTGTTGAAGAACTTGGAATAGCGAAACTCCCTGCGATAAGCTCCCCGTCATCCTTCCAAGTGCATCCTGATGGGCACTGTATGGAGACGAGCAGTTTGCGCTTTATCATGTGCACTTCTGGCTCCAAATCGAACCATGGATCGACCTGATATATGCCGAGAATCGCTTGGCTCTTTGATTTCTAGTTCAAAGAATTACGGAGTCCAGTCCTGACTAGAAGATGACACTGTGCCAGTGGCGCAACGTGGCAATGTGGCGTGCGGAGCGGATTTCGAGAATGGTGCCCCTTTTCTCAAATTTCATACCCGAACTTCAGCGACTCCCCACGAATTCTTTCGCCACTCCCAGAGGAATTCTCAAGTTAGAGAAGTCTTGAGAGATCCAACATCCTCTTGCCTCCAGCAGCTGTTCCTCATTTAATTTTTTGGGCGACTCTTTATGAGCTCCTCTGAATTTCCGGAATCATTCTCCACCGAGTGCTGAGAACGTCTTCCCCCTTTCCAACTTCCAACCCACGATTTCAGCTCACATGGGGGCTCAACTTGGTTATGAGCTATGCCGCTGGCAGTCGTGTACTCGCTCACCCAATCGGAACAAGGAGCTTCTGTTCCACGGTTCCAGGCTCGGAAGACCCGGATGAACCAGTACGTAGGATTGAAGAGCATTAATGATTTATATTCGTCGTAGCCAATAGGTCGTCAGACGCCATTCATGTTCTCGAAGTGATTGTGTTCCGATTCTTTCACTTGAAGGGCCAATGTACTCGGCGAAGTTCAAAACCAAGGAAAAAGATAACGCCTCGGACGGACATCGCCTTCAAAAAGATCTTTGGTGTGCCAGAGAATGCTGACCTGCTGATGTCCTTGATAAACTCCGTGGTCGCTGACGAGGACAAGGTGGTCGATGTCAATATCATCAACCCCTACAATGTGAAGCAGTTCGTCAAGGATAAGGAATCAATCCTTGACATCAAAGCAACCGGTGAAAATGGACAACGCTTCGATATAGAAATTCAAGTCGCTTTGCGGCCCGAGTACGAGAAGCGAGCTCTTTATTACTGGGCACGGCTGTACTCCGAGCAACTGGGACATGGTGATGACTACTCCGTGCTGAACAAGGCAATCGGGATTCACTTCACGAACTTCAGCTTCGTACCGCCAACCGGGAGGTATCACCACTCCTTCCAAATCACTGAGAAGCAGAATGGGCAGGCATTTTTCCCGGATCTAGAACTGCATACTATAGAGCTGAGTAAATTCGTCAAGAGTGCGAGCGAGACTCTACCAAATGTAATTCAGAGGGTGGAGAGCTCTCTGGACAGATGGGCCACATTCTTGACAAAGTACGACGAACTCGACAAGGACAACCTCCCTCGCGAACTAGACGATACGAACATTAGAAAGGCTCTGCATGTTCTCGAAGTTATGATGTTTACCCCAGAAGAGAGAGACGCTTACGAAGCTCGCTTGAAGCACCTCCGCCGCGATGCAAGCTGGGAAAAATTTATCGAGTTCAATAGGACGGAAGCCAGGATAGAGGGTAAGATGGAGGGTAAGATGGAGGGTAGCAGAGAGATCGCGAAACTACTCAAAGAGAATGGAGTGTCCATCGAAATCATCCTCCGAACTTGTGGAATGACAAAGGAAGAGGTGGATGAATTGTGAAATCGAGGCATCAATTGAAGTTTCTCCGATTCTGATGACCCTCATGCTCTCTCTTGTCATGTAGAAACCCTCTGTATCGACGTCCTTGCCTTCGATGACCGTCTCCGTGAAATCCTTCTCTACATCCCGGGTGCGGACGCTTACTAAGACGCCGCTTCTCCTTCCGCGTCTCCAAGAACTTATCGACATGTTACTTCTGTATGCTGTATCGATAGCGATGCGAACGATCTCTGCATCGCACCCTATAATTCCGATTCATTCCCGGTCAGCATTCACTGCGACTGGAGATCGCATTTTGCTTGTTTGCCATCGGAAACATCGAAGAGCAACCAATCACTTGTTGAGAATGTAAATGAGATAACTTGTAATTATATGTATATGTATATTATTTATATTATTCTACTCCCTACTATAAGCCGATCGAAGCTTCGAGGGGACAGTTGGAGCAGGAAAATGCCGACTCAATAAATAGACCGTTATGGCACATTGTCACAGTGCCCCCTTTAATCACCTGCTTATCTGCTTCACCGACGAGGTGATGGAGTGCTTAAGGCGCACATTGTGCGAAACGCGCACCTACGCGGCTTAACCTGAAGTAAGATGTTATCACTTCCGGGCCCAGATGCCACGAGAAATATGCAGGTCGTGGTCTAGACTCTAGATCATTGGTTCTCAGGCTCTGGCCCGCCGCGGCTCCCCTGAGCGGATGAAAGGAGGCCGTGGCTCCCCTAGTCGACGCGAAGGAGAAGAAAGAAAAATCTGACTCATGAATACATATAATATAGAACGTTATTTGCGGGCCCTGCAAGGGGCTCTGTTGTCCTCGAGTCACACGAAGAAGGAAGCACCACAATCATTCCTTGCTTTCGTTCATGACTTTATCTGTATCCACTTCTGTTTTCGTCAGTTTCAAGCGAAGAGAATCCGGGACTAGTAATCTGTTCCGATACTTGGACTTGATTGACACTAAGGCTGAGAATCCAACCTCACACATGTAAGAGGACGGAAAGGGTATGAGTAGTCTCGAGGCTTCTCCTAAGATTCTGGGAAATCTATCCCTCACTGACAGCCAGAACTGGAGGGCCTTCTCGCGTTTGAAGGAGCTCTTGAGGAGCCTATCATTCGACAAATCGATAAGTTTCTCTTGCCCGAGAGTTGACATAGCTTCCGGATAACTTTCGAATGGGCTCACGACCCAAGCTTTCCGAGTGAAATCTTCCATTTCTTCGTGAAAATATTGAGAAAATTTCTCGTTCAGCTCATCCAGATGAGCTATTTCTTGTTTAAGACTGTCGTCCATGGTAAGCTTCTTCTCCAGCAAAAAAGAAGCCATGGTGTCAAAACATTCGAATCGCCCGTCATCGATGCTCTCCCCGTACATATCTAACTTCATCACGGAAGCACGAGACGAGACCGACGAGGGGAGGACAATCTATTCATCCTGACCTCGGCGATCGAGCTAACGAGGAAACACAACAAGGGCCTGATCACATGTTTCCTAGATTGCACTAAAGCATACGATAGGATATCCAGGGATTCTCTATGGGATACACTGGAGGAGCTCGGAATGGACGAGAGATGGATTCAGCTGCTAAAAACTGTATACCCTGACAATAGTGTAAGGCTGGAAATTGGGGGGAGGAGATCCTTGAGGATAAGCACTGGAATAGGCCTCCGACAAGGGTGTCCTCTGTCACCGATTCTATTCGCACTATACATAGCTAAACTGGAAACCAGACTGATGTGGGCGAACTGTGGTTTTGAGCTGACAAATTTATCAGTAAACGGATCCACAACCCATAGAATACCAGGACTGCTATATGCCGACGACCTCCTATTGATGGCTCACTCATACGAAGAAATGAGTAAGATGCTAGAGACTGTAACGGAGCTGGGGAACGAGAAGAGTCTACAGTTTAATCCGGCGAAGAGCGCTGTTAACTTTACTCGGAGGACAAAAGCGGAAGGATTGCAGGGTACCCAATCGCAAGTCGGAGGAAAAAGATTTCGATGATGCTCACTCACTCGGGTTGCAGACAACAACTCTCTTTTATTATCAGACCTTATCGTCGCGCCGTCGACGTCGGCCGACGCGGGTGTTCGACCCGACCAATGCCGCCAAGCGGCCATCGCTGATACTATCGCGGCTATCGCGTTAAAAACTCGAGATATTTAACATTCCCCCCGGAAACGGGGAGCGTTTCACTTAAATTATCCTTTGTCAGTTGCCTCGTCCGCCGTCAACTCCAGCGGACACAATAGCTGGGCGGCACGACGAGACGTTCTTAGATTTGAAAACTTAACAGTATACGTTCGGATATTTCCATCGCGACCCCGGTGAGCGTCAACGATTCGGACGAGCTTCCAGCGGATCCTTGGTAAATTGTCCTCCTTCAGGAGGCAAACATCGCCCACCCGGAGGGGGTCAGCCGAGAGCCCTCTCGTTTGATTTGCCGACTTGAGGAGGAGCATATATTCGCGGAACCACCGCACGGAGAGGTCCTTGAAATACGATCTCCTCGCAACGAAATTCTTTCGCAGTTCTTCGCCCGACACTGGTTTGTCGCCCGGAAGAGCGTCGACGGGTAGGTCAGCGGCAAGGGCTGGATGGTGGGGGCCGCCACGGAGAAATTGAGCCGGCGTCAATGCTAGCGGGTCCTCGGAATCCGTCGGCGCGTGTGTTATCGGTCGATCATTGACGACCGCAGCGAGTTCGCATAGGACTGAGCGGAATTCCTCATAACCAAGGAGGCGCCGGCCAAGCCCTTTAGTGAGCGCGGCCTTCACAAGTCCTACCATACGCTCGAAAAATCCGCCCCTCCAGGGCGCCCGCGGGCAGTTGAAAGTCCAATCTATCGATCGTCCCTCCAAAGTCTCGGCTGTCTCTTTCTTCTTCATCGCATTGAAGAGACGTTTGATATCCGTCGCAGCTTTCACGAAATTACAACCATTATCCGAGATGAGCTTAACGCAACCGGGATACGTAGCAAGGAAACGTCGGATCGCCAAATGAGTTTGCGGAGTACTCTGTGATGGCACCAGCTCTAGGGTAATCGCGCGACTTGCTCCACAAGTGAACAACGCTACGTACGCCTTCGAGGTGGTCTTCTGCAGACAACAACTCTCTTCTATTATCAGACCTTATCGTCGCGCCGTCGACGTCGGCCGACGCGGGTGTTCGACCCCAATGCCGCCAAGCGGCCATCGCTGACACTATCGCGGCTATCGCGTTGAAAACTCGAGATATTTAACAAGCGCTATGGTGATATTCAACACCAGTCGGCTTGGAGAACCAAGAGAAATGATCATACAAGGAAAACATATAGAGTTCCAGGAGGACTACAAATACTTAGGGATCACAATATGCAACGCCCAGAATTACCTCCTGATACGGGAACAAATATGGGAGAAGGAGGCACACAACGTCTTACAAAGACTCCATGCTCAGGTATTGTGGACATTCAACAGATTCGAGATCACACGAATCCAATGGATGGCCCCGGGGGTACCCAGGTTGACATATGTGTTAGGGTGACCGGTAAGCGCGCGGCGCCGCCGCTAACGCCCTTCGCCCGGCGCAGAAAGCGACGATGTGAGATCCGTTAATAAAGAGTAGTCAGTTGCCTGGTGGCCTATCGACCGGTGTCTTCGGTGTCGTTCCCGGTTCGGGGTCTAGTTTTGCAGGACTATACTCGGTAACTACAGTGGCGACGAGGAGGCTTTTTCAGTGGTTGTGAGGTGCTCACAGTCTCTGGAAAATACAGAAACCCACGGAAAACATCGAAGATGCTCCAGGCTCAGGAAATAGGCCTAATCGTCCAGGAAGCCGTTCGGGCTGCTCTCCTCCAGACGGCGGAATCGCAAAAGGATATGATCAAAAACCTGATGAGTTCGACGACTGGAAAGTCCCAAAAAGTCACAGATTCCTTGAGCAACCGTATTCCGAATTTCGACTACGATCCCGAGTCTGACTCCACCTTCGAGAAATGGATCAACCGGTACAAACCTATTCTCGATACGGACGGAGAGTCACTCACAGAGATGATGAAAAAAAATTCCATCAAATCCAAGTTGAGCACAAAGGAATACGATCGTTTTGTTGCTTATCTACTCCCGAAGAAGCCAGAAGACGAGAGTCTGAACGACATCATCGAGACGCCCAAGAATCTCTTCAGCCAGCCGGCTTCCTTGTTCAGACGTCGTTTCAAATTTCTTCAAAGCAAAAGGGAAGGTAAAGAAGTCACCGATCTAGTCGGTATGATTAATTCCAGGGGAGAAGCTGCAGAGCTCGGCAAGCTCTCACCTGAAAATTTGAAATGCTTGGTCCTAGTCAATGCCTTGAGTGCGCCGGAGGATCTAGAACTCCGAACGCGAGGTCTCCGGAAATTAGACGAGGAATCAACTACCTTGAAATCCCTCGCTAAAGAGCTCATAACCTACACGCAGCTCAAGCGCGACGCAGCGATCAGATACAAAACCTACGATCAGTCATCTGGCTCAGAAAAATTCGTCGAGACCTCAACAACAGCAGGGGATGCCTCCGAAATCCCCGTGTTCTCGGTGCGGCGAAAAACACTGGAGGCGGGACTGCCCCTTTGTGAGGACCAAATGCAACAATTGCTCAAAAATCGGCCACAAAGCTTCTATGTGCAGGAGAGCGAAGCCGAAAGCAGATGTTCGACATCTTCAGGTCTCCTTCCTCGAGAACAATAGAATCACCAGGTCTGTGAGGATTAATGGAACGCTGATCTCTCTGGTTCTCGACACCGGTGCGGACGTGACACTGATATCAGAGAAAACTTGGAGAACGCTGGGAGCCCCGAAGTTGCAGGGAAAAGACGTTGATCTCACGCAAGCCGATGGTTCGCCTCTACGAATCCTGGGGAGCTTCACCTGTCAAGTCGAGTTGAATCGCTCGAGCTTTCTGGGAAAATGCTACGTTTCCTGGACATGCAGCCTCCTGGGACTTGTTTGGATCAAGCAAGACCAGACCTTCTATAAGAATCTCTTGGAGGGAGTATCGACAGTCAGACAGGACGTTGCACAGGCAAGGAAAACGGCTCCCGATCAGGGGAACTTGGCGTCCGAGCTCAAGCGCAGGTTCCCAGATGTTTTCGCAGAAGGGCTGGGAAAGTGCACAAAGTTTCTGGCATCGGTACAACTCAAGCCAAAGTGCGAACCGGTCTTCAGGAAGGCCAGACCTGTCGCTTATGCAGCTGTGCCGGCGGTCGTAGCCGAATTGGAACGTCTTGAGAAAGCTGGTGTAATCGAACACACGCATCACTCCAACTTCGCCGCCCCGATCGTCGTAGTGAAAAAACCCGAGGATTCGTTTGTGTGGTGATTATTCTACGGGCTTGAACAACGTCATCGAAGATGACCACCATCCCTTGCCGACTGCAGAGGATATCTTCAGCGCGCTTAACGGGGGAAAATTCTTCTCTCAAATAGACCTTACTGAGGCTTACCTCCAAGTTCCTCTCGACGAGAAGTCTCAAGGTATTCTCACGATTAACACGCCGAAAGGGTTGTTCAAGGTCAAACGCCTCCCATTCGGAGTCAGAAGTGCGCCTAGCACGTTCCAGAGGATCATGGATGAGCTGACCGCAGGCCTTGATGGGGCCATGGCGTATCTCGACGATATCGTTGTGTCCGGAGGTTCCGAAGAAGAACATCACCAAAGCCTGCTGGCAGTCATGGAAAGGCTCCAACAGTTCGGTTTCCGCGTTCGCCTCGAAAAGTGCAACTTCCTCCAAAGACAAATCAAGTATCTCGGATTCATTGTCGACGAAAAAGGCAGAAAACCGGATCCAGCGAAAATCCGTCCCATCGTAGACATGCCGGCACCGAAGGACGTAGCGCAGCTCCGTTCGTTCTTGGGCATGCTGACTTTCTACGCGGCGTTCATCCCAGAGATGAAGGATCTGAAATCGCCCTTGATCGATCTTCTCAAGAAAGATGTAAAATTCGTTTGGTCTCCTGACTGCGAAAGAACATTCCAGAGAGCGAAGGATATCCTGGCATCAGACCTCGCCTTAATGCACTTCGATCCGAGGTTACCGATAATCGTTTCCGATGATGCGTCGCAAAACGGGATCGGAGGAATCCTGATGCACGAGGGTAACGACGGGTCAAAGAGAGCTGTTCTGCACGTCGCCCGTGCGCTCACTCAGACAGAACAGCGGTACAGCCAAATAGAAAAAGAGGCTCTTGCTTTGGTATACGCTGTACGTAAATTTCACAAGTTTGTCTATGGGCGACGCTTCGTCCTAAACACTGACCACAAACCTCTGTTGGCGGTGTTCAGAGCCGCTAAAGGGGTGCCGGCCTACA